CCAGAGAAAACGGCGGATGACGAAGTGCAGAAATCCGACATCTCCTCCAGCAGCCAAGGGGTGATCGAGAAGGAATCCCTGGGACCTCTTCTCCTGGAGGTTGGAATTTCCCTTGGGAATTTCCCCCCCCCCTCCCCCTCCCTTCCCAACGCTGGTTTTCCTCACGGATAAAGGGATTTATTTTTTTTAAGGAATTCCTTGGGAAAAACGAGGCTGAACCGAGGGTTTAAACCGGGATTAAAACGGGAGGGGGATTCCAGCAGGAGATTCCAGAGGGTTGGAATTTTGCCCTCGGGAAAACAGGGAGGGCGAGGAGGAGCCGTCTGGGAGCGGGATTTCCTTGGAAATCCTTTCCTGGCGTGGGGGTGGGGGGGGGTTTTCCAGGGATTTGGGGGTTGGGAATGGCAGGTTGTTCCACAGGGAAGCGCTTCCCGAGGGACCGCATTCCGAGACCCGACGGAATTCCCGTTGGAATTAACGAACTGGAGTTGGTTTGGGGTTTTTTTTGGGGATGAGTTTTCCCGGGAGAAATTTTTCTGGTGGATCCATGAGCGCAAATCCGCGGATTCTGCAGGGAGAACCTCGGGAATTTCCCTTCCCGTCATCCAACCGGAATCCATCCCGCGCTTGGGAATTCCGTGTTTGGATCCCGTTGATCCTGAGGGATCATTCCCTGATTTCTCCTCCCGCCTCCCCTTCCCGGGTTATGGAATATCCATGGAAAAACCCGGCACCGACCAGAAGGGCCCTTAAAATAAAACAACCCCCATCCCAGGGAATTTTTGAGGAGCGTTTTCCTGCTGGAATTCCCGAAAATCGTCCCGGCCGATGGGGGGATTTCACGGGAAAATTGCAGGTGAATTCCCGGCGGGAACGGGGAATTCCCACCTTGGAGCTTCCCGAACCTCTTGCCAGGTTGTGGGGGAAGGATCCAGGTGGGCTTTGCTGGGTTTTTTTTTTTTTTGGGAATAACAGGATTGGGAATGAGGGAAGTGGCAGCTGCCGGATCTGTCCTTTTTTCCTGCTTTTTTTTCCTGCTTTTTTCCCCCTTTTTTTTTTAGACTCCAGGAAATCCTGGGTGGAATGTTTGAGACTCCAGGAAAAGAAAAATCCTGGATAAAACAATTGAGACACCAGGAAATCCTGGATGGAATATTTGAGACTCCAGGAAAAAATAATCCTGGAGGAAACTTCTGGGATTCCAAGAAAACCAGGAAATCCTGGATGGAATATTTGAGATTCCAGGAAAACAAAATCCTGGATGGGATATTTTAAGCTCCAGGAAATCCTGGATAAAACAATTTAGATTCCAGGAAAACCAGGAAATCCTGGATGGAATATTTGAGGTTCCAGGAAAAGAAAAATCCTGGATAAAACAATTGAGACTCCAGGAAAACCAGGAAATCCTGGATGAAACATTTCCAGCGGGTCTGGTCGCTCCAGCCGGATTTGCCACTTCCCTGGAATCCCCCAAATCCCTGAAAATCCTGCCCTGGATGGAAAAAGCTCCGTCATTCCCGAGGCAAAGCTGGTGCATCCCTGATTTTGGGGCCTGGCCAAGCTGGATCCTCTGGGATTGCTCCGGCGATGGATCTTGGGATGCAGGGATCGGGGAACTGGGAATGCATCCCGAGGGGATCCAGGGAGGGAGAGGGAACGACCTCCAGCTGGGCCAGGTGGGATATCGGGAACAATTCCCGCCTGGAAAGGGCTGGAATGAACTTCCCAGGGCAGGGGGGGATTCCCAATCAATCCCTGCAGGGATTCCCAATCCATCCCTGGGGATGTGGCCCTTGGGGGATTCCTGGCAGTGCTGGCAATGGTTGGACTCCGGAATTCCGGAGGGATTTTCCCACCCTGAGCCATCCCTGAGGATTCTGTCCCATCCTGGCACTGTCCCAGCATTCCAGAACCCCCCGTCAGGAATTTTCCCGGATTCCTGGATCCCCCAATTCCCAGGAAAGAAGGGCCGGGAGGGAGAGGGAACAACCTCGAGATTCCGGTGGGATCTTGGGAACGATTCCCACCTGGAAAGGGGCTGGCAGGGCTGGATCCCCCATCCCTGCAGGTTTTTCGGGACACTCTGGATGTTCCATCAGCACCGCGGGCCAGGTTGGATCCAGGGTTGGATCCAGGGTTGGATCCAGGGTTGGATCCGGGGTGGGATCCAGGGTTGGATTCAGGATTGGATCCAGGGTTGGATCCGGGGTTGGATCCAGGGTTGGATCCGGGGTGGGATCCGGGGTTGGATTCCAGGATTGGATCCAGGGTTGGATCCAGGCTTGGATTCCAGGGTTGGATCCAGGGTTGGATCCAGAGTTGGATCCAGGGTTGGATCCAGGGTTGGATTCCAGGGTTGGATCCAGGGTTGGATCCAG